CGGCATCTCCGGGAAGGGCTCGGCAGGGAGGGCGCCGAGTGATCTGCCTTCCCAGGCAGCGAGGTTCTGATTGGCAAGATGGTGCCCCACTCTTGGCGCGCGCTCTTCCTTCTCCTGCTGCTCCTCGCCTGCCCTGCGTCGCGGGCTTCCCAGGTCAGTATCCCTGCAGCCCGCCGCTCCCTGTCCGGCTCGCGGGAGAGGCACCGCTGAGGCGGGAGGGACCGGGCTTGCCACATGGCACTGGGACGCTCGGGGCGGGGGCTTGGAGCGAGTGTCCGGCTGCGCTTCAGTTTTCGGAGAGGCGCAGAGTCCCCCATCTGTCATCTCAGATGCGTCTCGGGCCAGGCGCCTGGGAGGACCCGGGCGGGTCTAGCGGGGCAGTTTGTGCGAAGCGTCGATCCGCGGGGAGAGGGCTCCGCGTGAGAACCGGGGAGGAGGCAGTGGTCTCCTGGACTTCGGAGACGGGGTCTTTCTGGGTCTCCCGCCCTCCAGCCCGGCATTCACACTGTGACTGGAGTGTTCCTGGCGCCACACACCTCAAACCCCACAGAACTTTCTTGGCCGGTCAGCTCTTCCCAGGGGGACTGACTGGGGAGCTTCTGAGTCCGTGCGCTCCGAGCCCGCGACCCGCGTTTTCTTCCACACACGTATACAGGCAGCTTGCTCTCTTTTTGCGGTTTATGTTTGTTCAAGTCCCACTGGGTTTATTTACTCCATCAGATTCACGTTCCATTAACTATTAGGAACTGGTTTTTAAAGCCACAAATGCAGATAAAGATGCATCTTATTGAGGTGGACCTGGAATCGCCAAGTTCAGAGCCAGCATCCAGCAGACGAGACTAACTTGGGCAGTCAGAGATTCCTTCCCTCTGAGAGGGGCCTGGCCCTGGACCGCCCACCAGTTACCCAGACCTTCACTGCCACCGACAGCAAACAAAGTGGCTGTATGTGGAGGGGAGGGGACAGATGCCACCAGGATTCTGTAGGCTTCTTCCAGGCACTGCATCCTCCTAACAGCCGGGAAGCAGTATCCTGGTCACCCCCATGTTGCAGATAAGCAAGTTGAGACCCAAGGAGTCTGTGACTTAGTCAAGATTATACCGCCAGGAAAGAGAAATGTAAATCCAGCGGCCCTTGTGAGACTCCAAGTCTCCCCTTGCTTGCAGACTCTTACCTGTACTCCTTGCATTGGGGCAAAATCCTTGGAACAAAAATTGGGACAAAAGCCTGGCAGGCATGCCCCAAGCTATCTGGAAACCCCCTGGAGTATAAGAAGGGACTCCCGGGAGGGAAAATTAGCTTCAGACCAGACCTGGTGAGGATAGTGCTATCAGTGGTACTTAGGCTTCTCGGGGCTGCTCAGCAGCTACGCACTCAGAGGCCCCATTTGGGGCCACAATGAACCCATCCCCAGAGAAATGGAATCTCCCACTAACTTCACAGACACCAAACAAAACAAAATCTGCATCCCGAGTCCATCCCAGCAGCACAGGAGGGTGCATCCTCTAGGGGTTCCCTAGCCCTGGCCGTGGAGGGGGCAGGGTATGTGATGAGAAGCTTGACGCTCAGCCCTGCATCACCTGATCTTAGGTGCTCAGGCAAATGCCTGCCTCCTGAGAGCACCTGGGAAACAGGTGAGACTCAGGCAGCTGTCCCCAACATTGCAGCTGCTGCACCCAAAATGAACCTTCTGGGGCACCGTTCTCAGGAGATGGGGATCCACTCCCTGCCTGCCACATCCAGCTGTCTGCGATTCTAAGCTGTAAGAGCACCTGACTCAGGAGCAGGGGAGCAAGAGAGACGGTTCACTGATGCTTATTTCAACGTTCATGTGACTTGCACTCCCCACCCCTCCTCCACTCCAGCCTGCCCAGGCAAGCCTGAGGGGTGAACCACAGGGAGGCCTCTGGCCCCCATGCTTGCTGGAGTAAGCATTACCTGGCTTCTTCTCTTCTTTCAGATCTCTGCTCAGATAAGCACCCCTCTGCCAAGGCCTTCCGGACCTCCTCTGTCCCTGCATTTTCTATTATTAAGGGAAGTGGAAGGTGGCTTCGAGCAGGGTCTGCAGCAGGGACCCTGGGCCTGGCCAGCCTCCCCACGCCCCTGCTGTCTCCAGGGCTTTCCGCTACCTCCCACTTGTGAGCAGTCTGTCTTGAGTCATTTTTCCAAGTGTTCTGTGACTGGTTGATGGAGAGTAGGTGGTTGCTGGGAGGCAGGAGAGGTCAAGCAGCAGGGGGACCTTGCAAGGGTGGCTGTTTCTCAAAGCTGTGCCCTCTTTTCCCACAGGAGGAAACTGGCTTCACTGGGGAGACAGGAAACATGTTTTCCCACCCCTGATACGCCCCCCCCCCAGCCCAGAGGTTCTAGAGAAGCACAGGCGCCCAGCTCCTCCTTGCCTGTGAGGTGGGCAAGGTGTTAGAGGTGGAGGCGTCGGGATGTTTCAGAGGCTTCCCCCCTCCCCAAACCCTTCTAACCTGAGATGTGTCAGGGTCCAAATCCCACCATTACAGGGTTATGTTTTGGTCCATCACTTTCTTCTTCTTCTCCTCCTTCTCCCCCTTCTTCTTCTGCTTCTTCTTCACAGAGCCACATCCCCAGACCTTTTTTAGGGGCAGGGTCTCGCTAAGTTGCTGAGGCTGGCTTTGAACTAGAGATCCTCCTGCCTCAGCCTCCTGAATGGCTGGGATTACAGGCGATCAACACCACACCCAGTTGGTCGATCGCATTTTACAAAATAAAAACACATGTGTTTAGTGTTCATTTCCATTATTTTAACCATAGATCTGTGGCAACCACACCACTACAATTAGGATACAGGGTGGTTCCGCCACCCCCAAATCTACACCATGCCGCCTTGTGAAAAGTCACACCAGACCATCCCCTGTAACCATCATCTGTCCTGTGTCACCAAAGTACCATCTTCTCCAGTGTCATAGCAATAGGATCAAGCGGGGCAAAGCCTTTGAACTTGGCTCCTTTAGCATCAGTGTTCCAGGTCCCCCTGTTGGCGTGGGCGGCACAGCGCCCTCCCATGGTGTCACCTCCAGTTTGGGGCAGTTATGAGTAGAACGGCTATAAACATTTACACACGGCTTTAGTGTGGCTGTAAATTCTCATTTCTCTTGGGAAATACTTAGGAATGGAATTGCTGGGTCATTTGGTCAATGGAAGTTTCACTTTGTAAGAAACCGCCAAGCTGTGTTTCTTTCTTTCTTAATCTTATTTATTTATTTGTTTTGGTGGGGTTCTTTTTTTTTTTTGTCTTTTTTGGAACTGGGGGGTCAAACCCAGGGCTGTGCCAGTGCAAGGCAGACGCTTTGCCACTGAGCTACACTCTAGCCCAAGCTGTGTTTCTTATCTGATGTCACCTTTTACATTCCTGCCAGCATCACATGAGACACCCAGTTGCAGGCTGGGGACGCGGGCTCCGTGGTAGAGGGTTTGCCTAGTGTGCTAAGGCCCTGGGCTCAATCTTCATTTCCTGTGCTTATTTGCCACGTGACTAGTCTGTTGGGTGAAGCACCCATTCAGGGTCTGGTTGTTGTTCAGGCTGGCCTCTGACCCCTAGCTTCAAGTGATCTCCTGCTCAGTTGCCACGTAGTTGGGACTACAGGGTGCGTCACTGTGCATCACTTGGCATCACTGTGCCAAGCTTGCCCGCTCTTGTTGCTGTTGTTGTTGTTTGTTTGTTTGTTTTGTTTTGTATGGAGACAAAGCCAAGGGCGCTTAACCACTGAGCCACATACCCAGCCCTTTTTATATTTTATTTGGATACAAAGTCTTGCTAAGTTGAATAAGGCCTTGCTAAATTGCTGAGGCTGGCTTAGAACTTGTGATCATCCCACCTCAGCCTCCCGAGTCGCTGGGAGTACAGGGGTGTGCCGCTGCACCCAGCCAGCTTGCTCATTTTAAAAATGTTTTATTTATCTTCTTCTTGTTCAGTTTTGAGTGCTCTTTACATATTCTGTATACTAGTTCTTTTTTTAAACGTGTGAGTTACAAATATTTTCTCCCAGTTTGTGGCTTATTTTTGTAACTTTTTTTTTTAAAACAATGTCTTTTCTAGAATAAAGACTTTCAATTTTAACAAAGTCCTAGTTATTAATATTTTTATTTTTATGGATCAGGTTTTTGGTGGTCAAGTTCAAGAACTGTTGGCCTAAGGTCATGAAATTTTTCTTCTAAAAATTTCTTCTAAAATTTTTCTTTACATTTTTACTGTGGTCCATTTTTAGTGACTGTTTTTGGACCAGGGACTAAATTCAGGGGTGCTTTACCACTGAGCCACATCCCCAGCCCATTTTTTGTATTTTATTTAGAGACAGTGTCTCACTGAGTTGCTTAGGACATCTCTAAGTTGCTGAGGCTGGCCTTGAACACTCGATCCTCTTGCCTCAGTCTCTTGAGCCACTGGGATTACAGATGTGCGCCACCACACCTGGCTTTTAGTGACTTTTTAAAAAAACTCACAGGTGAGGTGTGTGCGTCCGTGTGCGTCCCTGTGCATCCCTTGTTTATTGTTTCAGTTTGATTTGTAGACAGATAGTTGGATTCCCATTGATTCTTCCTGGCAAGTTGGTCAGAAGTCAATTCGTCGTCCACGTTTGGGATACTTCTGACCTAACTTCATCCATTGAGAAAGTAAGTCCTCCAGCTCTATCTTTCCTTTTCAAAATTGGCTATTCTCGTTTCTCTGCCTTTTCAATGGAAGTCTAGAATCAACTCATCTGTATCTACAAAAAATCCTACTGGTTATCAGTATTGCAATAAATATAGATCAATTAGGAGAGACTCAAGATCTTAAAAATATTGCACAGTGGTGAGCACAGTTTATTTAGTCTTCATTTAATCCATTGGATTTATTTTTTTTTCTTTTTAGTTGTAGGTGGACACAATACCTTCATTTTATTTATGTGGTGCTGAGGATAGAACCCAGGGTCTCACACATGCGAGACGAGCGTCTACCACTGAGCCACAGCCCCAGCCCCTCTGTCAGAGTTTTTTAGTTTTGAAGTCAAGCATGGCTCATCAGATTTATATGAAATAATGAGTTCTTTCATTTTTGAAGCTATTTTAAATGGGACTTAATTTCCAATTGTGTGTTTCTAGAAGATGCCAATCCATTGGGTTTTCCTGGGTTGTCCTTATGCCTT